CTGGTATGGTGGAGTGTGTCCTGCGCCGAAGCCCTTTCCGGGTGTTATCTCTGGAAGGAGAACTGGCAAAGGGGGGGACAAACCCACAAGGGGACGGCAGCTGCCCTCACTGCTGCCTGCGCTTGGCCCTTTTCCATACGGTGTTTTTGCAGCTCTCCCGGCACGGCACCGAGCTGGCTGGCATCTCCTGTGGCACGGCACCGGGGTGGCACCACCAGGGATGGGGGTGGCACCGCCAGGCACCCTCATCCCTTGGCTGGAGGGAGATTTTGAGGCCAAATCTGCATTTTCGATCGTCCGTGACGTGCTGCAAACTCAGGCTGGCAGCACGGTCGTGGCAGGGGCAGAGCATCCCCGGGGCACCCAAGGGACGCAGGGACCCGCCGGCAGGAGGGACCCTTCCCAAATTCCGTTCTTTCCCCAGGCCCAGCTCCGCTGCTGCGGGACGCGTTGGGATTTAGTGTCAAATTTTAGGAGCGTCTGTCTGCGAAGGCGGCAGGAGAGGATTTGGGGTGGGAGGGTGGAGCCAGCAATATGCCTTCGTGATGGGGGGGATTAGAGAAATATTTGCGTTTATTTTAATGCCAGGCTTATTGCGGGGATTGGAAGCTTAACTCCCAACCTGGCGGCGGAGCAGCCCCTCATCTCGCTCCCTAACGCGAACGACATTTACATTTCTATACTGTCATTCCTCCTCACCGGGAATCGAAACCTCAAAACTGAAGGCGTCGGGTCCCGGTGAACCGCAGCCGCCTCTGGGCTGGAGGGAGGTGGCCGGGAGCCCCGGGCCACCCTCTGTCCCCACCAAGGGAACCGAGCTGTCCCTCTGCCCTGGTGGCACCCCAGGGACCCCCAGCCCTGCCCTCCAGCTGAGCTGTGTCTAGCGCTGCTGCTCCAACATTGAATTAATCCGTTCGCGTGAGTGTCGGCGTCGGCGAGTTGCAGAATTGGATGGCAACGCCGGGGTTTATATTCTTTCTTTTTTTTAATTTTTTTTTTTTTTTTAAAGAGCTTATATAACCTTGGGGATTCTATTAATAAAAATAATGGTTTTGAACTCTGGGAACAACCAGCCCCAACGACGAGCAATTAAATGCTCCAAGTTCAGAAAGCAGACAGCTCTCGGGGCGGCGGGGAGATAAGGGGAGGGGCGACCGGGGG